TGCCCAGGCGGGTCTCGAACGCGTGGGCTCAGGCAATCCACTCACCTCAGCCTCCCAAAGTGCGGGATTACAGGCTGAGCCACCGAGCCCGGCAATTTTTTTTCCTCTTTTTTTTTTTTTAATTGTAGAGATGAGAGCTCCCCAAGTTGCCCAGGCTGGTCTCGAATCTGTGGGCTCAGGCAATCCCTTCACCTCGGCCTCCCAAAATGCTGGGATTACAGGCTTGAACCATCGCACCCAGCCACTGAATACAATTTTCTAATTGAGGTTTATACCCCAGCTGACAATCTCATAAGTCTAACTGTTGAAACTTTGGTTTTTTAATGAAGCTATGAGCTAGATGGGTAGAGTTTAGCTTCATTGACACATGCAGAAAATATGTAGCTAGCTGGACATTTTTCAAAATATAGCTTTTAAAAATTTTTACCTCTTGGCTTGGAGATTTGGTGTGTATTCATTAGGGACAAAATGACTGTTTGAAGTTTTTGGTTTTTTTTTTAAAGAGATGAGGTCTCTTCAAGTTGCCCAGCCTGGTCTTGAACCTGTGGGCTCAGGCAATCCTCTCACCTTGGCCTCCCAAAGTGCTGGGATTATAGGCCACCAGTTATATGCCTGGCCAGTTTGAAGTATTTTAAACTGAAGTGTAAAATAAAAAGCACATATGAAAGCACTGACCAAATAAAATATTCATAGAGTTTTCACTTAAAACTGGAGACTGACTTAATCTTCAAGTTAATTATTCTTTTTCTATAACTGAATAGATGACTGTAATCCATTTTCTTATTCCTATAGCTTGTAGAGACTTCGTTAAAAGGAGAAATTGCCTTTGATCCCAGAAGCGCCTATTATTTGTGGTTTGTGATGGATTTTTGTGACGGAGGAGATATGAATGAGTATCTGTTGTCCAGGAAACCGAATCGTAAAACTAACACCAGCTTCATGCTTCAGCTGAGCAGTGCCCTGGCTTTCTTGCATAAAAACCAGATCATCCACCGAGATCTTAAGCCTGATAACATCCTGATTTCTCAAAGCAGGTTGGATACCAGTGACTTGGAACCCACACTAAAAGTGGCTGATTTTGGTCTAAGTAAAGTTTGTTCAGCCTCTGGGCAAAACCCAGAAGAACCTGTCAGTGTAAACAAGTGTTTCCTTTCCACAGCATGTGGAACAGATTTCTACATGGCTCCTGAAGTGTGGGAAGGACATTACACAGCAAAAGCTGATATCTTTGCTCTGGGGATTATCATCTGGGCAATGCTGGAAAGGATCACATTCATAGACACAGAGACAAAGAAGGAACTCTTGGGGAGTTATGTAAAACAAGGAACTGAGATTGTACCTGTTGGGGAGGCACTTCTGGAAAATCCCAAAATGGAACTTCTCATTCCTGTGAAGAAAAAGTCTATGAATGGGCGAATGAAACAACTGATTAAGGAAATGCTGGCTGCAAACCCTCAGGATCGTCCAGATGCTTTTGAACTAGAACTCAGATTAGTACAAATTGCATTTAAAGATAGCAGCTGGGAAACGTGACATATATCATTTGCAAATATCTTGGATGATATGCTGCTTCTGTTCTAACAGTGATGCAACATTATGTGGCTGAAAAGAATATAAAAAGCTAAACTCCACCTTCTAAGGGTTTAGGTTTTTTGTGGGGTATTTTTTTTTTCCCTCATTTTTCTTAAATCCAACCAAGCTGGCCATATTATTAGTTTGTTTTAAATGTGTATTACCTATGTGGGTGTACATTTTTTTAAATGGTCATTGGTAGAAGTTTGGCAGGAAAATTCTCTTAAAAGCCAAGAAGAGAAGAGAGTCCAATTTTTTTTGGAAGTATGTCTCTAAGTATTTTAGACATTCCTTGTCAGTATTAGGAATCTCCATGGAAGAAGGGGTTTGCATGCTGGTAATGCAACCTTTGAAGCTTTGTAAAGGAAACATATATGTATATATTTATGTATATGTAAGTATGTGAATGTGTGCATTTTGCATTCCATATGAAGAAAATGCCACTTCTGTTTAAATTATTTGATGTAGGTTTGGGTTTCTGAGATTTGCTGGTAAAATGAGTGATGAAAAATAAACCTTCCCTCTTCTTCCTCCCTCTAATGAAATCATATTAAGTTTTTTTGTAATATTATACAGCTTTTTTTTAAGGCATCGTTTTGGAGGGTCTAAAATTATTGGATAGAACATAAATGAAATTAAGCGATCCAAAGCTGCTGAAGTATGTTTGAGCTCTCCAGTGCCCTGTAGCTGCAAGAATTGAATTATTCATACAATCATATGGTAGCGGTTGTCCAGGACATTGGTGATTCAGTCAGATATTCTTTAGATAACCGAGCATTTATTTAACCCACTAAACCACTGTATTGGGACATGCCAACATATGCCTCTACAATCTGATATAGACCTGAACACAAGATTCTTCTGTTTGTGAAAATTTTGCTATATATGAACTGTAATACTTGATATATTAATTTTTGGTTTCAAGACTTTGTCTAAGCCTCAGCCTAAAATTGAAGAAACCAAATGAGCGCCATCCTTACATTGCCTGCCCTGATGTGGTCTCTTGTTGAGTCACTGGAGTTCCTTTCATTTTGGCACTGATGCTGTTTTGTCTTGCCTAATTTGAGACAGTAATGATATAGTGATATGGTTGTCTTAAATGTTGATCATCTTTTTCTAAAGTGGGACATGATACCTATACAGTGTGGCAAATGGATAAAATATTGTTGCATCAACTACTTTTCAAGTAGAAAAGTTATCAGTTTCATACAATCACCTAGCATGGTCTTGGTCAAAACCAACAGGCCATTATTCCTCTTAAAGCTAGATTTTAACTTTGTATGGTTGTCTCCAATTTGTTTTTCTGTAAATGCAGATAGTTAAAATCTAAGGAAAGAGTGCTTTCCTAAAACAGAACATTAGCCTTTAAGGTTGAGTAGACTTTATATTGTATTTAGATTAATCTTTATAAAGCACTAGAATCTGTGGTCAAAAGTCAAAATAGTATTAGAATCTTGAAATTATTGATAACTTGCATAGTCTCAGCTTTTTTTTTAAACTTCCACAACTTTTAGAACATTGCTATCATAATTTTTCCCCTATTAAAATGTGTTCAGAGGAATTAGAAGATAAAACATCACAAAAAATTGTAAAATTTCTGAAGTGTGTTACTTGATTTGGAAGCTTAAAATTTAAACTAAAAGATTTTATTGAAATAAAGCCACTTAAAAGAAAAATCATACACTGTTAACATCACTTTTAAAAATTATTTTGGAAATTAGAGATGGAAATATACTAGAACCTCATGGTAATTTACCTTCTGGATCACCAAATTAGTTTAACACAGATCTGTCCAAGGGAATTGAGTTACTGGGAGTAAGAAAAAGCATCATGATAACATCTAGTCAATAATACGGAACTTCAGCAGAGATTCATAGGAGATGGCATGTCTGTGCTTCATTTGCTCTTCAAATATCTATGTGCTTGGAGCAATGGTTTCCTTTGTACATAGTTTTTGATCCTGCCTCATTTTAAAAGTTAACAATTATTATTTATTTTGAAAGATTTTTACCTGTAAAGTGAAATTCTTTCATTTGGGGTAAGGGTATGAGGTGATCAGGAAGTTTCTTCTGGAATTTTTTCAAGTCCTTGTATTCTAAAATAACCTATGATGCCAAGCAAAATAGCAGTAAATTCTTCATCTTTCTTTGTTCTTTCACTTGGAGGTATTTATTAAGTACCTACTGTGTGCTCAGCACTAAGGATTAGTTGATATAATGACAATTTTAAAATGCCATTTAGCTACAGGACTTTTCCAGCCAGGAGTACAAAATAGAAGAATGATTAATGAGACCTGGATATTTGAGAAGAAAAATGAAAGCAAGAATTTGCACAGTGTCTTGCCCATAATAGGTACTCAATAAACAGTTACTCCTCATAGAGTCTCTTGCCATGGTTTTAGTGTTTTATGAAATTTGTCTTAATTGAATAAAGACCAAATATTTCAAATAAGCTTATATAGGCAGTTGTGGCCAGTTAAAATATGGGGTTGTACAGTTAGTTCCTAGAATGTTATTTTGCACTAGTTGTCACTTAGATGGGATTCCTGTAGATTTTTGGTGCTAAGGGATACTTTGTCATTATGATGAAGTAAGTGTTAAGTGTCAGATAAATAGCACACAGAATAGTTTTTTCTGCTGGTCTGTTTTTTCTCTTTGTTGTTGTTGTTTTTATTGTAAATTGTTATCAAACTATTGTAGCAGCTACAAAATAATTCACCAGCATGACAAAATGGTCAAAAAATAAGTCATCAGCACTTCAAAAATGAAAGCAACTTTTGAAATTTTCTTTTAAAATTGTCAAATATATTTTATGAAGAATTTATAAAAGGGGGAAATAATTGTAATTTATTGTTCATGAAAGTTTTGTTTTTTTTTTAATAAAGTGAGTTTCAACAGAAAAACCTGGAAAATTCTACATTGCTGCTTTGGTGGCTCTGTGAGTAGTTTTGCAGTGCTTTCCTTCATGATCATAAAATAGAGGGCATAAAATTTGGAACAGCAATTTTTAGATTTTCTATTAATTCTTTCTGAACTAGAAGTTATTGTTGAGGGAAAGATTGAATTATAGGAGCTTCTGCATTTCAAGTTCTCTAAATTTTAATGCTCACTATATTGCTGTATTTGCTTTGTATACAAGAAAATCTTTCATTGCCTGAGATGGCATTTTTTATTCGTTAGTCCTATATCATTAAGCTGAGGATACATCTCAGATGCAGAATGATATATATTAAGTGTACTAAGAGGATGCAATTTTTCAGTCTATAATGTGAGATCATGGTTTCTTTTCTATAAAAAAGTCATCTGGCACACTTGTTTCTTATATAGGTTTTATTACATATACCTAAGGATAGTCTGCATAGTGGTTCAATGGACCAGCAGAAGGGAATGTGGCAGAGGGAAAACATTAACTCTACATATAATCCAGTGACTGGGTAAATAGGCATTAGGAATTGTGGCTTCTTCTGACTCTGCCACCTTCTGGCATAGCCTTTGTAGACAGGCAATTTTTGCTTTCTGTTTAGAGATTAATTTTTTTAATTGAATATTTAAATATTTCTATTTACTGGCATCTTTGTAATTTTTCACAGTTTACAAAGCACCTTCACATGGATTTTTACATATCTTTTTAGTGAGTTTTACTTAAAATAGGGGTTGATTTCTTGAAGTTAATAGTACTAATACCAGTTACTGAGATAATGATAAATTTCACCCTAGGATAGGGCTTTAGTGCCTAATCTCTGACTCCAGTGGAGTTTTCTCTAACAAAGCTTTATCTTTCTCACTGCAGTAATGACCCTTGTTTGTTTTGGACTTTTCTTTAAATTCAAATGTAGCTCTCTCGGTCAACCAATCATAGACATCCTCTAAAGTGCAGCGTAATGACAGACGACGGTTGGTTTGTGGTTAGATAATAACTTACTTGAGAGAACCTGCAAGACTGCCACACCTCTTGAAGGCAAAGTGCATCTTTTAAAGGCAGTACTTTTCCTCTTTGCAATGATTTTTCATTGGTTAGAAGGGAATTGTAAAACAACAACCAAAAAAAAGCCTGGGCTTTTGACTTTACTCTTTCATTTCCTGTTCAGCCCAGTATTTCAAGCTTAGCTTGTTCTAAGCAGAAGTTAGGCAACTTGATATTACCAAAGGCATCATGGTCAAGTGCAAAAAAGCACAGGCTTTGGTGCTGCTGATCTGATACTGAATACTAGCTTTTGCAAACACCTGTGGCGTTGGACAAATCATTTCATTCTTAGCTTCAGTTTCTATATCTGTAAACTGGAGATGATGAAGTTTACATTCCAGAGTTTTTGTAAGGGTCAGAGATAGTACATACAAAGTGCCTAGCATAGTGCCTGGCACATTAAGTTATCAAATGGTAGCCATTGTTCTTATTGTATTCTGATTTTGATGACATGAATGAGTGAATGAATTCCCTATAAGCTAGTCTTCTGTCATAGCCTTGATTCTTCCCACCCTACCTCCCTCTCCCCTCACTTTGGGAGAATCTGAGGAAGGCACTACATCCTTTCTTCAGGAAAATATTTGACTATAATTCCATGGGATTTATGGATCTCAGAAGCCCAAATGGACCCCAAGTGAAGGGACTCTGAGTACCCCTGTGCTAGAACTCTTAAGTCAAAAGTGGGCCATACAAAAGGAGACTTCTAGGGAACCTATGTTGTTTTGTTTCTGGATCAGGGTGCTTTAAACCAGGTGTGTTCAGTTTGAAAATTCATCAAGCTGCACTTAAAATGTTTGCACCGGCCGGGCTCAGTGGCTCAGCCTGTAATCCCAGCACTTTGGGAGGCCGAGGCGAGTGGATTGCCTGAGCCAGAGGGTTTGAGACCAGCCCGGGCAACTTGGCGAGACCTCATCTCTATGATAAAATAAAAACAGCCAGGCGTGGTAGTGTGCATCTGTAGTTCTGGCCACTAGAAGGCTGAGGCGGAAGGATCGCTGGAGCCCAAAAGATTGATGCTAGAGTGGCCATGAGCGTGCGTGCCACTGCACTCCAGCCTGGGCAAAGGAGTGAGACTCCAACTCAAAAAAAAAAAAATGTTTGCACTTTTCTCTAGGTATACTTCAATAAAAATTTTATGTTTAAAAAATGCATTGGGGCCAGGCACAGTGGCTCATGCCTGTAATCCCAGCACTTTAGGAGGATGAGGTGAGAGGATTACCTGAGTCCACAGGTTCAAGATAACCTGGGAAACTTGGCAAGACCTCATCTCTACAATAAATTTGTAAAAATTAGCCAGGCCTGGTGGCATGTGCCTGTAGTTCCAGCTACTTGGAAGGCTGAGGCGGAAGGATGCCCTAAGCCCAGCAGGTCAAGGCTGCGGTGGCCGTGAACATGCCACTGCACTCCAGCCTGGACAACAGTGAGAATCCGACAGGAAGGAAGGAAGGAAGGGAGGGAGGGAGGGAGGGAGGAAGGAAGCAAGGAAGGAAGGAAGATCAATTAATATAATCAATCACATCAACAGGGTATAGAAGAAAAACCACATGATTGTATCAATAGAAGCAAAATCCAGCATCCACTC